TACTCTTATATCAATTGTTCTTTGGTAGTGATCTGAGTATTCTTTTAGATTGTTAATATTTATACCGGTTACTGTTGGTTTTGTGATTAATTTTATTCTTTCTGGTTTTAGATCTGGAAAAATGTTTGTTCTGATTACTCTATAGTCACTGCTGTTTGAAATTTATTTATTGCACACACCTTTTATTATAGCAATCGTGTTGGTTAAAATAAAGTCTATTTCGTGCTTATTGCTACCAAAGTGCATTTGGTGCTACCCAAGTCTATAGTCTGTTCTATTTTTTCTTAAAGAATGTATTTGCAATAGGCATCTTTTTTAGCAACAAACGACCATACGAGACGGCGTGGACAAGAAAGAGGAAGACTCACAAAACCACGACAAGATCCGTTTATCAGGCCTCTGCTGAAAGTTTTCACAAAGACATTACAATACAAGTGCAAATGTCTAATATCATAGTAGAACTATACAAGGCGTCTCTGAAAAGATCTGAATATTGAGAGCACCTTGAATGGAATGTTAATGACTGGGAGCCCGTGTTGTTTCGTGTAGTTCATATTGCTCTTATACATAGGAATAATTTCTTTAATGAAAGAAAATTCATAGAAAATTTATGGGATATTATTGATCGTCAACTCAGGAGCTGACAACCATCACCTGTCTCTCTTGACGACATAGAAGGTATGGTCAGAGAAGCTTGATTGACGAAGTTGGAATACAAACTATAAACTGCCCACCCTGCAGCCTGATCTCAATCCCATAGATAATTTGTAGGATATTATTGATCGTCAACTCAGGAGTCGAGAACCACTATCTGTCTCTTTTGACGACATAAAAGTTATGGTAAGAGAAGTTTGGGATGCAATTGATCAAGACCTATTTACGCCGCTTGATTTTAAGTATGCCTCGTTGCTGTGAAGAATTAATTAGATGTAGAGGTAGAAATACATGTTATTAAGTGTTTTTAAGAGAGAGAATTGTTAAAGATTATTTATATAATGTTTTCTAAGGCTTTATTTGTATTAAATGCCAATCAAGTTTATGTTAGTAATGTTTTCTAGGCTTAAAATGTTAATAAAACTTGTTAAAAATGTTAAAATTGTTTACAATCTTTAATAATAGAGATATCAAGATAAGTTTTTTACGAAAATATTAAGTTTCTTTCTAATAAATTCTACAGGGTGTTGCAAATTACGATGAAAAAATACAACTTTATTTTTACACCCTGTATACTGGTAAAACTTTAATATTTTTTCTTCTTCTTCTTCTTCTCGTGCCACTCCTAGCGGAGATTGGAAATCATCATGGCCACTGCGACTTTGTTAGCAGCGCGCCTAAAAAGTTCAATCGAACTACACCCGAACCATTCACGTAGATTACGAAGCCACGATATTTTTCTTCTTCCCACACTTCTTTTGCCCTTAATTTTGCCCTGCATGATGTTTCTTAAAAGTTCGTACTTTTCACATCTCACAATGTGCCCCAAGTATTCCATCTTTCTAGTTTTTATCTCATTTAGAATTTCGCATCTTTTGTCTAAAGTTTGGAGTACTTGCGTGTTAGTGACGCGGTCCATCCATGATATTCTGAGAATGCGCCTATAGCACCACAGCTCGAAAGCTTCGATGTTTTTTATGGTCAACTGTTTTAGTGTCCAAGCCTCAACTCCATATAACAGGGTAGAAAAGACATAACATCGCAGCATTCGTATTCGTAACTTTATATTGATATCACGATTGCAAAAGAGTTTGCGCATTCTATTAAAGTCTGATCTAGCGATTTCTATTCTACATCTAATCTCTTTTGTTTGATCAGTATCGTCTGTGATCCAAGCACCTAGATATTTATAACAGGGCACACGCTCAATCGTTGTATTGTCTATTACAAGATTAGCTCTGATGTTCTTTGATTTCGTGATTACCATAAATTTAGTTTTTTTCAAATTAATTTTCAAGCCGTAACTGTTACAGTATATATTGAGACTTTGAACGAGATGTTGTAGTTCTACTAGCGTTTCCGTGGAAACTGTATCGTCGCACCGTATATTGTTGATGTCACCATTATTATCAGAGCAAGATCTTCTTCCTCGAGTGCTTGTTCACAGATAGCTTCACTATACAGATTAAATAAAAGTGGCGATAAGATACATCCCTGCCGGACTCCTAGACGGATTTGAATTTCTTCTGTTAGTCTGCTCTCAACCTTGACATTTGCTGTTTGATTCCAATATAGATTGCATATAATTCGAATATCTCGGCTGTCTATATTTTTCTTTATTAGAATTTGTCTTAATGGTTCATGTTGTACTTTGTCAAAGGCCTTTTCGAAATCAATAAAGCAGGCGTAAATTTCTTGGTTCATGTCTAAGCATCTCTGTGAGAGAACGTTCATTGCAAACAGAGCCTCCCTTGTACCCAGCCCTTTTCTGAATCCCATCTGAGTGTTACTGATGTCTACGTCTAATTTCCTATAGATCCTATTATGGATTATTTTTAAGAACAGTTTTAGAGCATGACTCATCAAAGCTATCGTACGATATTCGTTGCATTCCTTTGTATTTGCCTTTTTTGCCAGTAATATAAAGGTCGAACGGAGCCATTCCCTAGGTATTATTCCAGTTCTATATATTGTGTTAAATAGATCTAGGAGTATTTTAATAGATTCATTGTCCATAAGTTTGAGCAGTTCTACGGGAATTTCATCAGGACCGGGAGCCTTACCACTTTTTGCTTGTTTGATTGCATATTCTATTTCTTCTCTGATTATATCAGGCCCTGTATCATCTGTATATTCGTTTGAGATTTCTTGTCTATCTTTGTCATCAAACAGTTGTGATATGTATTCTGTCCATCGGTTCATTTTTTGTTGTAAATCTGTTATAATTATACCATCTGTATCTTTGATCTGTCCTGTCTGTGTTGTTTTTCTCCTTCCTGTCATTTCTTTAATCTTTTTGTGTACATTAAAAAAGTCATATTTTCGCTCCAATTGTTCTAACTCCTGGCATTGCTCACTTAGCCATCTTTCTCTAGCTTCTCATTTTTTCTTTTTTTATCAGTTTATCTGTTTTTTTGTATCTTATCGGATTATTTGTTTTGTGTACCCTTCTTTCACGCATCAACTGTAGTATTTCCTCATTCATCCATTCTTTATGTTTCCTTTCTTTCGGTGTTAAATTTTCTCTCCCTGCCAACATTACGGCATGTTTAATATTCTCCCATTATTGGTCTATGTTATCAGTATTTCTATTCAGTTTTTCTATATTTTGTAAATTTTCTTTGATGTTCACTATTGTTTTCTCTTTTATATATTGTTCATTCAGTCTTCTCACGTCAATTTTTTTCTGTATGTGTTTTTTAATGATCTTTAGTTTTATTCTTAATGTGACTACTACAGGATTGTGATCCGAGCCTATATCTGCTCCTGGGTAGGTTTTAGCTGAGAGTATAGAGTTGCGGAATCTTTGACTAACAAGGACAAAGTCAATTTGGTTTCTGACTACTCTACCTTTGGTGTCACTCGGAGATTTCCATGTGTACAGTCGTCTGTTAGGTAACTTGAAAAGAGTGTTAGCAACTACTAATATTTTTTAGAAAGCATTAATACAGTGATTTACTAGAAATATAATAGAAATAGAACTATAACATAAAAAAAATCATCAAAATCCAATAATTCGTTCAGAAGAAAAATAACTTCAAACTTATGGTACATTTTAGGTGGTGCGCTAATTTTGTACATAAAACCAATGATTGCCAGAAGATTCTTTTTGAAGTAGCTAGGATTTTAGTTGGGAATACTAGAGCTAAATATATATGTACTCGAACAGAAGCCACAAATTTGTTGGAATACTCAAACAGAACTTGGAAATTTATTATTACGATAGGTCTAGTGGATAATATTTAATATTTATTATGCCGCAAGAAATTATTATACCTTCAGAACAATATTAAAATATTTAATTAGTTAATATTACCTCGATTTTTTGATCATTAAGTTACATTCTTTGTTATTGATGTATTAAAAGTAGATTTTTATTAACAATATGGCTATTTTCTACAAAACTGCTTAAACTATATTATTTTAAAATAAAATTGAATTTATTTTTAATGATTTTATACTTATTTTCTAAAATAAATGAACATTTGTGAATAAATCATTTTTTTCCTACTTGTCACTTTTTGATTTGCACAAATTTAGTTAATGAATGGCATGGAAGCGTGGACAATAAAACAATAAAACAGTCTGAAATCAGAAAATTAAACTCCTTTGAGAGGTGGTGCTACAGAAGAATCCACAGAATATCGTGGACTGCAAAAGTAACTAATATAGAGGTGTTGCAAAGAATGAAGAAAGAATGTGAAGTCGTAAAAACTGTTAAAATTAAAAAGATTTATTATCTGGGTCATATATAATGAAGGGCAAGAAGCATGTATTACTTAGGTTAATTATGCAAGGGAAGGTATAAGGGAAGAGAAATCCCGGACGACGTAAAATATCTTGGCTAAGAAATTTGAGACAGTGGTTCGGTTGCAGCTCATTAGAATTATTCAGAAGCGCTAATAAAATTAAAATAGCGATGGTGATTTCCAACCTCCGATAGGAAAAGGAACCTGAAGAAGAAGTTAATGATTGAATTCGAAATGCTTTGTCAAAAATTATGTAAAATGTATATTCTTTAAGGTTTTATGAACCTAATTATTTTTATAACATTTATTTAATAGCTGGAACTCTTTTATAAATGCATGTTCATTTTTGCCATTTAGCCATTTAAAATTAAATTTTATGGTTTTGGAAAAGCTTAGAGTATAATCATATTGCTATTACCCAATATTTAATTTTATACTTATATTGTGGACTCTTTGTGGGAGGTTTTAGCAGGAAAGGAAAACTTGATTATATAAATCAAGTTAAATCAAGTATATTTAATTAATAATTAAAATATAAAAGTCGCATTTATTATAAGTAAAAGTTATCAAAAAATACTACTATTTGGCAAAATGTACCTGAACTGGCGAGTACCGGGAGTCGTACAGCTGCCCCACGGGCAGATTATTTTGTCTAAAACTCATCTTAACACGGAAACTGGATACACGAAACACTATCACCTAAGCAACATTATAACTGACTGAGCTTGCACCAATTCCTGCCTATAGGTAGACTTTTCTCTGCTAATTAACATATCTTAAGACTAATAATATTGGGTATTAGTACAAATATTTGATAATAATAAAGGCTTACGCTGATCGTGCGGCGTTTCCTAATTTTTATTATGGTCTAACAACAGAAGTAAACAATTTCGATTGCGCATTCGAAAAACTAAACAAAACACAAATGCGTAAATAGTACACAGAAGGTCTTCCGTTTCAGGTACCCGTGAATACAACTTTAAGTCTTGAAAGTGCTCCTGATTTTACTGTTTGTAAATATTTAATAGAATGGTTATCAATATAACAAAACAAATACTAAACAAATCTTTTTGTAAAAATGGAATGGATTATTTTTAATTATACATTGTAGGAATAAAAAAGACATTTTTTAAAACAGAGGCGTCCACAAAATTTACATATCGGCCATTTAAATTTTTATTATACAACTAGTATTCGAACCAATCAAACCCTACTTAATCACGGAAAATGCTATATTATTTATGCATTCAATGTGGTCTTGGTGAGAAGTTAAAAAAACCAGCTGGAAAAAACCTTTACGTTTCTGGAAAAAATCAAGAAAATACCAAACTATAAATTTAATAAAAGCTAAATAAATATAAAGACGCAGAGAAAACATTGCAGCAGATTAAAACTTTGGAAGTACGAAGGGGATAAAAGCCTTTATTGTTTATTTAGAATATTACACAAATTAAGAAAAATACTACAAATTACAACTTTTACACGAAAATGAGTATAATACAAATAATTTATTATATTAAAATATTAAAATCGGTGAGGGCATTTAGAAGTCATCATCATTCAATCTTTGTTTGTGCACTGCTGGGCATAGATTTTCCTCATAATTTTCCATCTGTTTCGATTGCTTCCTGCATCCATTTCCTACGGCAAAGTTTTAGATCGTCAGTCCAACGTGTTGGTGGACGACTTCTGCTTCAGTAAGCATCATCTCTTGGTGCCACTCCGGTATTTGCTTTGTCCATTTGTGATCTGTCATTTGAATCACGTCGCTACTTCTGATCCTCGTCGTAACCGGTGCGAGTTTGGGATCTTGTCTCGCAGTGAAACGTCCAACAAAGCAGGCTCCGTAGGCCTTTGAAGCACATGTTTTTTTGCACTGTTTTCTTTGTCATGGTCAACATTTCCACTATGTAAGTTAACACTGGTAAAAGACAATAATAAAGTTAATAATACAGTTTTTTATCTAAGACATATTGGTATGTCGGACGATTTGAAAATGTGGTTTAACTTGCCGAAGGCATGCCAGTCTGTCTTATACGAAGGAGAAGCTCCAACGGTGTGATTATCTTTTCCTATGTAAATCTCGTGACCTAGCGATTTATAGGCCATTACCTGTTCTATGGATTTTGTTCCTATGCGTATATCTTCTCTGACTATAAAATTTGTCATAATCTGGGTTTTTGATTATTTATTTTTAGATGATATTTTGATTTTATTTTTAATCCCCCTTTTAGCGAGAAAAGGTAGAGCTGAGTAAACGTTCTTTAGCTTCGTGTATCAAATCAGCCATTAGCCTTATATCATCTGCAAACCTCAGGTAGCTAAGCTTTTCCCCATTTATATTTATACCCTTGTCTGTCAGTTTTGCTCTTTTACATATATATTCCAAAAGTGTAGTGTTTGTTGATCACCCACTCTAACACTAGGTGTTGCTTTTTGGTATAGATTTTTAATTATATTTATGTACTGATAGTCAATATTCTGTTAAGACTTCCAACATTTTTTGAAGATTTATGGTGTCATAGAACTTTTTACAGTCTGTTTACAGTCTTTTTACTAAGATTTTTTTATAATCTGTTTCATAATAAAAACTATACGTAAAAGTGTTTGTCTTTAAAATGTCAGAGAGATGTAAGGTCCAGTGATCAAAGCATTAGAACACAAATATTAGCTTGTTTACCGGTGGGATGCGCACATACACAGATACGCGAACATGAATAGTAAAAGCGGCACAAATCACAATGGCTGGGCGCTGTTGGAGACGTAGCTTCCACTACTGTAGGCAGTTTTAAGAACGGTTTGGTAGGTCCAAGAGATCATATCGCTTCAATCTCTTCGCTTGTTGGTTGTGGAGAAATTGTATGCCAGGGTATTAGGATGCACGCGCAATCTGTTTTGATATTGTTCAGAAATTCTTTTGCACTCTTCAGAGACTTGCAAATCTCTATGTAAGGCGTCGTTCTGGATATACTAAGGGGCAGTAGCGATTGTTGTTAGAGTTTTAGATTGGAATTTTCATTTGATTTGCTAGCTGTATCCAGAGCTACGAACCATATGACCAAACGGGACATAATAATTCCCAAATATTTAATAAAGCTAGTGGTTTATTATATTCAGTAGATATTTCTGTACGTACTGCTAAGATTTTTTATTATCAATAGGTGATCGTGCGTTCCGTAGCCTTTTCTTAAATCCACCTATTCTAAGGCTGATAAAATTTCAATTTATTTTGTAATCATTTTGTAATGATTATTGTAAATGGTTTATAAATATGGAAAAGTAGACTTATGAGTCTGTAGTTTTTGAGGTCTGTAGCAACGCATTTCTTGTGAAGTATGATAATTTCTATGTTATGGGACTGAGTTGGTATTACTGCTTCCTGCAGACATCTAGTGAATAGTTTGGCAAGGATCTGTCATCATCTTTTTCCAGCTATTTTTAAGCTACTATTTCATCGCCTCCGATGGACTTTGTTTTACATCTTTTGCACTGAGTTTCGAACTTCGTTAAGTGCTATGTCCGGTAAAATTTCAAATTTCTTATTAATTATTATCTTTGGTAATAATCCACTAAGGTTCCGTTGCTGTTCTTTGTATAGTTGGCTATTTATTCTCTCTATAGTGTTCATTATTTGACCTCGATCCTCAATGATTTGCTGTTTTCCTGTTCATTTATTAATTTATGGATATTTTTTCTTCCAACGAACATGTTCTGTCTGGTGCTTTCAAGCTTTTATTTTTTTTAACGTCATTTTTAATTATCTTGTTTAAGATTCTTAGTGAAAGCAGTCATGTATACCTGGGTAACTGCGCTGAGGATGGCCTTATAGTCCGAAAACGTTCTGTAGTATCCCGAAAGAGCCTTTTTTTTTAAATATTAATGCCATTTAGGTATAAAGGATTTTTGAGAGTTTAAACTCCTAACGTCGAAAACATTACAGGTATAAGAAGATATCTCGTCGATTTTATACAGAGGAGAAGGATTAGTGTACTTTGTGTGCAGTAAACTCTTTGCAAAGGTATTAAGTCGAGAGATCTTACAGGATCTTGAAATTACTCACAAGATACAGGCTAGTTTATTACAGGAAGCGAATAAGCGGGTTACTGTGTGATAGAAAAATTGGGGAAGAGCTAAAAGGAAATATGTACAAGAATGTGAGTTTGTCCTGTAAAGAATATCCAGGAAAAGAAGATGGAGGTAGCTGAAATGAAAATGTTACGGTATAATATGTTGGGTAAGATAAGAAGGGACATAATCAGAAACGACTTGATTAGGGAAAGAACTGGCGTAACTACAGTCTCAAAAAATATTTAAGAACAAATACTGCAATGGTTTGGTTATATCAGACGTAGAGATAAAAACTGTGTGGGACGAAGGATAAAGATTTTAGAAGATGACGGAAGAAGATGTATATGGAAACCGAGGAGAAGATAAAAGGACTGTGTGTGGCAGAAAACTTAAGAAAAAAAGGTTTAGGTGAAGAAGAGCTAATGGACACAAATGATTGACGACGAAGAGTAACGAACAGCGACCCCTGAAAAGCGAGAAGCTGAGGAAGAAGAAAATAAAGGATTTTTAAATAAAAAATCTGTAATGTTTTTGAATCAAGAAAAATAATTGTAAAAGAAAAAGCATAATTCAAGAAAAATTAAAACTTATAGATTTGATTTTCAAAAAAAATTTGCAAATAAATTTTTTTGTAAAATGTTTTGTAAAAATAGATAACATTTATAACTATAATACATAAATATTTAAGTTACCTGTTTTGTTTAAACTTAAAATTTGTTTAAACAAATTTCTGAGTTAAATAAATAATTCACAAATTAACTCACTGCATTTTTATAATCTATGCAACAAGGTATTCCAAATTACAAAACATTTTTGTTAATTAGAACAGAAGATATTGCGACTTTTATAAATTTGAAGTGAGGAATTCCGTTTTTGAAATACTTATTAAAATCGAGAGGGTGCAAATCGCTTCGCTTTGAAATCCCCTCATTTTTGGTGCACCATAAACGAATTCATTTTTAAAGGAATCGATTTGATTTTTTTTGTTAAAATTTGAACGTTAAGTTCAAATGGCGCTTTTTAAATTTATTAATCCTTATAAGCAAAGCAAAAATGCCAACATTTCAAATACAAAAAAATTAACTTCCTACACGTTAATATGTTCTACCTTGTCGGGATCTCCTCTGTCTCACTAATGATTGTTCCTTTCCCTATGTTTGGTTGTCATTTTCAAATTTTTTATCTTGGTATGAACCATTGCGTGTGTCGCTTGCTTTCCTAAAAAAACTTCCTGGTATCTCTTCTGTTATATTTTTTTATTTGACATTTCTCTTTTTTTACTTCTTCCTAATATCGTCGGATCCCTTTTTTCCTTCACATAATCATAATTTTGACTTTACATAACCCTGCGTGGGTCCTAGCCTCCTCAAGAATTTCTCTCCAGTCGTCCCTATCCATAGTCTTCCCCTGCCAGGCACGTATTCCCACATTTCTCATGTCTTTATCGATATTATCAAGGACCCTTCTTCCTTGGGTCTTTCTCTTCTTCTCTGACCAATCTATCAAAAAGCGTTTTTCTAGCTGGGTCATTTTGTTTCATCCGCATTACATGCCCTATCTACGTGAGACGTCATACCTTAATATTTTTTACGATATCAGGTTCCTGGTATATTCTATAAAGTT